GGGTGGTTATAGTTGGGAGCTGGAAGGGACATCCTTGATGGGCTAATAAGCTCCTTTGTCCCTTTAAAATTTTATGAATTTATAAATAGTGGGTATTCTGATGGGTGCAAAAATTCATTTTTCAAACACGTGTTACACCCCTAACCTATATTTTTGTACTTTTCATTACATAGATGATTTAATCTCAATCAATAACTTGAATTATGATCCAAACCAAACAAACCCAATGGAACTTGCAATAGAAAGAAGCAATAGTAGTGATATTCATACACATTAGAAATGGATATTAATTTTGTAGAGAGAGTACAGAGACAGAGTACAGTTGACTATTTTTGAGAAAAAAAAGGGAATTTGATTTTCCCCTCCTTGGTTTACCCACCCTTGGCAATGTTGTTCCGTCACTATTGTTAAAAGGAATTATCATCTCCCAGTTAAAAAGATTTTTAACAATTTGTAATAATAGTAATTATTTTATGGATAATGTTAAATTATTCAAGAGTAAATTGAAGAATAATGGTTATAATGACTGGTATTTAAAAAATGTTCATACTTTTTTAAAAATAAATATGAAATTACATTAAAAAGTAAGCTCTCACTCATAGAAGTTACCTTGTGGAGAATTTAGAGGGCATTAGTTACTCATGAATATCCTTGGTTTAAATAAGTTAACTACTGTGAACATGGAGATTCTGTTCATTATACCAGAGAGACAAGATCAACCTCAGGTAGCAGGGCTTGTCTCTGCTCACCCAGTTTATATTTGAACAAATTTGTGAAGATAAAAGGGTGGAAGTTGGGAGTTTTGTAAAAATATGGGGGTGGTTTATTTCTACTATAAGAAGATCTTTTGCTTTTATATCTTATAATATTAAATAAAAATATTAAATTCATTTCACGTCCTCCACGTGCAAATTTCGATAAGGTTCAGCAACCGACGTCAAGCAGCAAACAAGTTGAAAGTTTGTAACTAGAAGATTTAATTATCTATATACTACTATAACCATGAGATTGTTTGTTCGTCTGTAATTATATACAGCAAAAATGGCACACAATATCACCATATTTGTAATGAAATGAGAATAGAAACAGAATAAAACAAGTTTCGTCAAAATCGGGCCACGGGTTACTGAGTTAGCCTCGTTTTTCGGGCCACTTTTCGTACATTCCATTATTATAAAACTTTGTTTATACAACAGTATATATGCACAACAGAAATTAAATGATGAGATGAAAATGTGTAGAAATGTGTAGCACGTAGAAAGAACAACAATAAAATGGACCTACAATATTATTGAGTATTTGCAAATAGTAACTATGGACACAAGGTAATAAAATAAAAATCAAGTCGAGAACAACAACAAAATTTTCGCCGAGCATTGGCTATTATATTATTTCTCTGTCAATGTTCCCATCTTCATTAAAAGGCATAAGATGACATCAATCAAATATTTTTTCTTGAATTATGAATGAAACAAATGGATTGAAATATTTAATTAAATTATCTCAAAATAAACCTTCATTTCGGTGCAATATTGAAATTAGCTTGAATTCTTCATAGCCTCTGAATAGTGGTTGACCCAATGGGTAACGGTGGTCTAGTTTTCTATAATTCTTTATTTACTGTTCTATGTTTTAAGAAAAATAACCGAAATTTAAAAACTTTTTTAAATAGTAAGAATGTATGTACATATATAATGTATTAAAACTGAAATATGACTGTATTTTACAAAATACTAGTCCACTAAAACACAGCCACGACAGGTCACTTTGTAAAGACTAAAGGTCAGTTTTATATTATTGGATATGGTAATATGAGTGCACATGCACTGCATCATTTTAACTTCTGTATTGTTAACCAGGCACAGCTGGAAGGTCAATATCATAAAAATAATAAATATATATAAATATATAATGTTATGAAATTTAAGCTATTTAGACTAAACATTTGTGTTTTCGTGTTATCATCTATAGTGATTCTAGAACGAAAAAGCATAATTTATATTTATTTCATAATTTTTTTATTGAGGTTACAAAGTCGGTCAAATTGAACCAACATGTACAGAGATAGAATAGTGAAAATAACACATAAAATTGTTTTTCTCCCCAAAAAATTTGATAATTATCT